TGACTGTATCACCGGCTGAGAAGCGGCTGCACCCAGTCTGCCATAATCAGACCTTTTAGTCTGGTGACTTGGACCCGGGCTAGGGCTGTTGTCGAAACAGAGCTGAGGTACCTGTATTGAAGCTCCAGGGCCTGGAAATGAAGATACATGAGCTGGAGTAACACGGTGATCAGTATAAGGTGATAGGATTGGGAGTTGTGGGGTATTATGCAAGCCTGAATCTGTGGGGTTCCAGCTGATCCGGTGGTCTTCAGTATCAAACTGTAGTGAAGCATTTGCAAACCTGGTGGGCTGGTTGGTGAGTTTTGGCCTCACTGATAGCTGGTGGTTCGCTGTGCTTGTGTCAGCGGATGCCCCTTCACTCAAGAGGTGTGTGTGTGTTTTAATAGGGGAGTCATAGTTGAGGCTCATTGCAGGCCCAGGGAGAGGTTGCAGGCCTGATGCCTCAAGCTTTGAAGGGGAATCTGTATGGGCACTCCACATCTGTTTGTGTGTTAACTTGTGTTTATGTGGAAATGTTATTTCGAATGTATTGTAATGAGTCAAAACAATCAATACAAATTATAATGTCTAGCACAATATCAGCTCGTAATTAAATTACATCTAGAACACTGCTCAATAAGAATATATATGAGATAAACTGGCAACAATAGCTTAATATTCGTTGCAGAGTGGTCTCACACACAATATACTCTTTTACCATTCAAGTAGTGGTGAATTTGCTATAATAACAGGAACAATTCTCTAAAGAAAACAGCAAAGTTCACAGCCTTTAAAGGATATATTGGAGAAGGTGAATTTCCTGCCAATACAGCTTCACAGATGATAATAGCTCAGTCCAACAAGCTGTTCACTCACCAGCCTAGTACATACAGTTCAATACAGTGGCAAAGTGTGGGGGGGGGGGGGTACTGCCATCAGTCTCTCCTTCTCAGCAGTCTCGGAGCATCACAATCCGGGTCACGGCACCAAAGATGTAACCCAAATGTCCCGTAGCCTCTCTGAACACCCTGGGACTCTGCGTTGTGTTTGTTATTGGCAGTGTTGTGCTAGTTACTGAAAACCAGTAACTAGTTACCATGACTAGTTACTTCATGTCAAAAGTAACTCAGTTACTTTACTTACACCCAAAAGTAATGCGTTACTGTGAAAAGTAACGTTTTCGTTACTTGAAAAAAGGGCTCCCATTAATGCCCTTATAGCCTTCATTTCAGTACTGTTATTGCATTGGAGAATAATACAATCGACTTTGTATAATAATACAATTGACATGCATTATATGCAATCTGGATTGCATCGATATTAGCTGGCTTTCCATTTTTGTATATTCTTTCTCCAGGTAGTTGGAAAAAGTTTTCCGTCCCATATGCCGTGTGCCGCCCGGACATGCTATCATGCTAACTAGCTCCCTGAAAGCGGGTGACTCCACTGTAGCAATAGCCTGCATGTGTTCTACAACATACCGTGCAATGGCTTTATCGACTTTTCCCTGGATAACAGTCCTTTGGTTAAAATCCAGCCGCTGTTGCTTAGGTGGAGGTGGAGTGGCGTCGGCTGAGTCTCTGTGGTCTTAGCTACTAGCTTCGTCCCAGCATGTTGTTTTTGCAGATGTTTTAAGAGATTTGAATGACTGGTTTGGGCAGTAGATAGGATCTTTGACCCGCCAAGACACAACTTACATTTAACTAAAACTTTATTTTCTTTGTGCTCGACAAAAGTGAAATAGTGAGAATATCTCCAGGTGGAGAAACTAGACTTGAGCTCCACCGCCGCCATGATAGTCTTGTTAGTAAACACAAACACGCCCATCTCCGCATGTGACACAGGAAGTATCAAAGTACATTTACTCAAGTACTGTACTTAAGTACAGTTCTCATCTCTGTTCGCCTGGCTGTTGACTATATAACAAAACTAACGCAGTAGCGGAGTAACGCACCATGTAGTAACGGTAACTGAGTTACTGAATTTAAAAGTAATGCGTTAGAGTACTAGTTACTGCCAAAAATAACGGCGTTACAGTAACGCGTTACTTGTAACGCGTTAGTCCCAACATTGGTTATTGGTGATGGGGTGTTATGCAGAGGGGCGGAAAACAGGACACAGCAGATCGGATTGCGGTGGAGATGCTGAGTAGTGATTTATTCTTCACAATGGCAGCTCTTCTGACACACCTTTCGTGGAGTGAATACAAACATTTGCGCATTAGCTACATGCTAACCAATACAATAACCAAATGAACAGACAAAACATAAACATCTCACTCCCAAACATAAATAATCATTTAAACTCATTAATTAAATAAATGGAATGTTTGGACGTTTTTAACCCTCTGGAGTCTAAGGGTATTTTCTCGATTTTTAGATGTTTTCTTAAATCACCTTTTAAATGTAGTTCTTCTAACATGGCACCCATGTGTTACATATCAAAATGTTCAGGACAATCTCTGGTATTGCTATATATGCAAATTACTCACCTTAGAGCACTGTTTGATGAGATAAGTAGCTCAAAAGCTTAAAATTTGACATCCGATTTTCGGAAAATCTTCAAAACTCTTGTGAAAACACAAATTTACTCATGTGATCGAATTGTTTTGGTGTTTTAGATTTGGTTACCAAAGTCTTATGATTACAAAAGTAGTGAAATATTTGAATTACATTGTATATGTGTTATTCATGTCTAAAATGACATTTTATAAATTCGCATTCTGAGTAAAACAGCTGTCAATCACTCTACTTTCACCACAGCAGGGACTGAGATATATCAGGACTGAATAATGACTTCATATTACATAACAAGGTTCATGTGATGTGTAAAAAAATAAATAATTGAGCATTAGAACTTTTTTTTTCAATCAACAATTTATTATAATACCAACAATGTATATAAATATAACTGCAAAATCTCACTATTTACAATATTGAACATCAGAACTTTTTTTCCTTCAACCAACTATTCATTATACACTGACAAAATGATCCTTCCTCCAGTAGTCCAATACATTGTCCAGTTTCAGCAGCCCCATGTATTTATAGAAATCCTCTACAGTCAAGTCAGTCCATTTGTAGGTTTTACCCTTTCCCATCTCCTGTGCAGCCCGCTTGTTTGTGTTGGTACAGAGTGTCTGTACTGTTAGTGCACTGAAGAACAGCTTGAACAGGTCAAGGGGTTTGTTTGATACTGTTGAGCTGAGCTGTGGCCCGGGTGTGCGAGCAGGTTGAAACCTGGAGACAGGGGGAGCAGTGTCAGGGTCTTCGCCTGTCTTCCAAGACAGTGGAGCTGGCTGCTGTGCAGGTGGGGGTGATGGTGCATGGGCAGCTGGTGGCTGTGTGGGAGGTACGTGTGCTCTACGAGACCTCTTTGCTGTCCGGGTTGATGGTGATGGCTGTGGCGGAGCTGAGGTGTATCTTGACCTCGTCGCAGGCAGCTGTCGTGATGCTGGTCCGCTAGTGCTTGGTGGGGATGGCAGTGGTGAAGGCCCTTGATCCACGGTAGATCTTAACATGGTGGCAGGCACAGCTGGAGGCTCCTGGATAAATGTCATCTGTGGGCAGCTAGGCCCAGGCAGCTGTGAAACCTCTCTGTAAAACAAATAAAAATTACACACACACACACACACACACACACACACACACACACACACACACACACACACACACACACACACACACACACACACACACACACACACACACACACACACACACACACACACACACACCACACACACACACACACACACACACACACACACACCACACACACACACACACACACACACACACACACACACACACACACACACACACACACACACCACACACACACACACACACACACACACACACACACACACACACACACACACACACACACACACACACACACACACACACACACACACACACACACACACACACACACACACACACACACACACAAATATCTCCGTTGTGGGACAAATAAAGGATTATCTCATGCATCTACACATGTAACCTTACTTATACATGCTAAAATAACGTTTACACATAAATAACATTTACACAGAGTAAACGTTTACTAATCAAGAGTCTATTTTGTCCCGAGAAAAAGTTCATGAGGGGAAAATAAAAAGGTTGATAAATCAATTGTTCATTTTCGCGGTACTCCTCACAAAATGGCAAATGCACTACAAGTTATATTTACACTTACCCATCCTCAAATGGATCCCTGCTGTCCCTGTATTCTTCTTCTTCAGAAGAGTCGAAGCCTTCAGGTTCTGATGAGTCATCTTCTTCACTGCCGCTCGCGAAAATAAAATCCAGCGCGTCCGCAACGGTAAAGTTCCTTCGAGCCATTTTCTCTATCTTCTTCACAGACTAAAAGACTGAAACTGATGGGAGACATCTGATATATATATTTTTATTGGTGGGTAGGTCCTTAGATTTCTAGAGTGTCCATTGGTCATTTCAGACCGACATGGCTGCCGGCCGGCCGAGATGTCCTTGACTGACACACAAATCCACCAATCACACACAGTGTAACGCCGAATCAAGCTGCTTTGAGCGGCAATATTGGCTGCAGTGCCCTGGATACAGTCTCACAGGAGATACTCTTGAAAAGCTACGATTCTAGCGATTCCGCAGATATCTGAATCATATTTCTACTCCTTACAAGCGAAAATCTATGATTAAATACGTAAATAAATGTGCACTTGGTACAATTGTGTACAATTATTTGCCGCCATTAACACTGCTCACCTTTCGTGGAGATATTTTTACACTGCTCTGCTTTCTGCACGGACCTCACAGCTGTTCTCTCTGTAAACATCGCGTTGCGATCAGAGCAGTTAATAAAATAATATCCAGGGGATGCATGCAGAGCTGTCATTGGCTGAGATACGTCCGGCCGTGCGTCACGACTCTTTAGAGGCTTCTCAATTCTTAAATTTCCCCTCCTCGACTCCCCTCCTCGAGACTTAGTCCCGCCCACAGGAGATGCGAGCGGAGGACTGAGAAGGGGAACCGAGGAGAGAGGAGGGGAAACAGCATAGATATATATAAACACTAGATGGCTCATGGGAGATTTTCCAGCGTTGCTGACTGGCCGTCATCTTGCTACAGTTAACAGTTACTCTGATTCGCGTTATGGTAGCTGTTGTAAGGTGAGTGATCTGCACAAAAATACTCTTAACTCGCTGAAATCTTGACTGATTTACAAACGGTTTGGTTTATTATAAACATTATTAGCATGGCTATGATACAGGATGCTTGGACATGTTGAAATTGCAGCTGTTCTTTGTGTATGTGGTTGTATTTATTAGCTGGCTAATAACAAGAGGCCGTGAGTGAGACCTAGTATTACAAAGTTGACCCAGCAACTTTACACCAGTGGGAGAGGCAGAACTGCTCTTTCTTTTCAACATAACTTAAGTTACACATGATTTCTTCCAAGTGGTTTGGCTTGTTAAAAACATATTGCATTATGATACAGGAATTTGCTGGCTTTGTGTTTACAGAAGTACCTGACTATGCCGGACTTTTGTGCAGCCTACGGATGCTCTAATCACCGCAGTCTGCAAACAAGAACCCGTGGGATCACCTTTCACGTGTAAGATATGACAATATTATGACTATAATTAGGATAATCGTTAATTACTTAGTGGATGTATGTACATTACAAGTCCTGCTACACAGGATCAGTGGGGCTATGTGAGATAATAGTATTGCAAGATTGTTGTTGACCCAGCCTCTTTAGAATATGTTGTTACCATTTCTTTACACAATTATTTAATGTTTCTTTTGGACACCTTTTTTATTACTCTTAGTGTGGTTGTCTTATTCTTAAAGTAAGCTATACATACATGCATAGCCTACATACCAAAATATGATAATTTCGGTGTGTATTTTTGTCCTTATGTTAAAGGAAAGAAGGGAGGAAAATGTTGACAATAATTTATATATCTGGCTACCTTTCTCATGTTTTTAAGGTTTCCCAAAACCGAAGAGAGGAGGAGGCAGTGGGAACTCGCCCTAAGAAGGGACGGTTTTGTTTCCTGTGACAGGACACTGCTTTGCAGTGAGCACTTCAGGAGTGAGTAATTTGACCGGACAGGGCAGACTAATGGCGAATCGCTACCACTGGGAGCATATATCGCCACCTATTATGTATTTATTAAATCTTCATGTTCCATGAGACGCAGCACTATGTTCCCCACATATGTTTATGTTTGCTCAGTCTAATAAACCCATAACATGGTTGTGAAAGAATACCAAAGCTGAGGCTGGATGATGATTGATTGTTGGTGTGCCATGTGTCACCGTGTGTCTTATTGGTTTTGTGTTATACTGTATTTTATTGTGTGCAGCTGGTCCTTATCTCCAAAACACATTTAAAACAAATAACCTTGAACCTTGAAGCCCCATCTCTCCCCACCTGCTCCTGCTTCCTACATCCCCTCCACACCACACCAAGTTTTTCTTCTTAATAATAATAATAATACATTTATTTTGGGAGGCCGCCTTTCCCAAGGACCCAAGGACACCTTACAGGGGCATAGGGGCAATATAGGGAACAATTTAAACAGTGGATTTTGTGATATATCAGCCGGGGTGAGATGAGACAAACCACAAATGGACTACAGAAGGACACAAAAGGACACATGGTACAGTTTATATTATTCTTGGTCTTTTTTCAATAACATATTTCAAAGGTTCTGGATTTGTTTACAAATCTAGAAACTAAATACAAAACTAGTATAGTAATATGAAGATCTCATATCAAAAATAATTGTGATAAATTAGACAGAACTGTGAGCACATTTTATGTTGGTTTGGTTCTTCTGATAAAGGTGTGAATATCTAAATAATATACCAACATATGCTATTGTCATTAGTTGTGTCCCTGTTCTTAAAGCTAAGGAATTGCTAAATTAATAACTCTTGGCTAACATGAGACCGATTTTTATATATAAAATATAAATGTATTTTCATTTTATAATTTATTTTAAATATAAACAATATAATAAAATAAATGGAAATATATACACCGGCAAATATTTAATATAAATACCTTGTGTGTGTGTGTGTGTATAGCTATTGCTTTATCTGATTAATGTTATTTTCATATGAAAGTCCATGATTATAAGTATGCAGTATCATAACTACATCTTTGATGTTTATAAAAAACCAAACCGTTTGAAAATTGGTTGAAAATTGAGCAAGCTATGGTTATTTAAAGAGCCTGTGACACGGTTTCCCCCCATCATCCAAACCCATCAATTTGAGTAAATATTGTCCCCTTGAAAACCGTTACTGAACTGATTTGGGATATTTGTACTTTGATAACCATTAATCTGCCCTTCAATGTTGACTATTTTCTGGATCTTCTCGGGGATTCTTCAAGTCCCGCCAAATGATGTGTGACGTCATTGCGGGCACAGCGCTCCAGCTGTACCGTTCAGGAACCCAGCATCTGCATGCAAACGCACGATGGCGCACACAGCAGCAAGCTCAGACAGCGATGACAGTTTAATTTTGAACATGTCTGAGAGCTCATATGAGGCTGAAGGATCGCTTTATGTTGTATCTGTTAGAAGTTTAGGAATTAGGTGCGTCAATATGGGCGATCATACGGTCATGTAGCCAGTGGTGGACTGGGACTAAAAATCATCCCGGGACTCTCGACCGGCCCACTTCGGTACCGCTAGTAAATTGTCAACGGGGGGAGTGGGGGATGTCAGGGGCGGCGGGTGCTGTAGATAGTAAATGTAAATATGTAAATATTTGTGTCACTGCATCCTGGTAAAATAAAAATATAATGCAATGTCTGTGTCTTTGACATTGGCGCTGCTAGCAACCTGTGCTCTGTACGACGAAGCCAGTTCAACAGACCCTGGATATGTTTGAGTAACAAACAAACTAACAACAACAAACTAACAAACGAGATCTCGCTAAGCGGTCCTACGACGCTGGTTATCAACTCGGTAAATCAAGCCAGGGTTTCTCTCCAGCTGAGAGCGCGTTCACGTCTAAGACACGAGTGGGTCTGACTTTAATTACATTTGACTCTAGTGTTTTGTCAACATAATGTGTTGCTTAAAATAATACTTCTGCATACAGTATGTGACACTGTAAGTGTTGCACGGCCAGATACGGCTGGAGAAGCTGACTCAGATAAGGAAATATATGATATATTATGATATTATATGATCGATGATCTGATTGATGATGTAATATGAATGATAAGTGCGACATGTCGGCGTCTTCTCGGCATACGGCAGTTTAAACTGTATTTCCTTTATCCTGTAATATGACTTGAGAGATTTAAACTCCGCACACTGAGTTGATCTCTTTTCTATAGACGCCGGAGGCGGGCAGCGTCAGGTAAAACAAGTTATTTAGCCTCCCCAAACCTGAGCCTCACGTGCCGCCTATGGGGGATGTGCTAGTGACTTATCCGACCGGCCCACTTCGGTACCGGCCCATCGGGATTCGTCCCGATGGCCAGTCCGCGACTGCACCCAGCCGACGTAAACTGTCAACGGGGGGAGCCTCGCTGCGGGGAAACGGTGGACCTAGTGTCCCGATCGGAGTGGGAATAATAATAATAATCCGTGCATTTTATCCATTAATTTCCCCAACATTGTGGTGAAAAAACCACACGTTTAATCCATGTTGGTGTACAACTACAAAAAGCATCGGTTTGTTTTCTCATCAGGAAATGCAGACAGGCACAAACAAACGATTTTTAATCATCATTCTCACGATCATTTAATGTAGGCTATCATATGTTCGCCGAATTGACATGAAAGCACTAATAAATGTAGTTTCATCCACTTGAGTTTACAACTACAAAAATAATCGATTTGTTTTTATATCACATCCTACGGGAGGAAATTCAGTAGCTCTCACTACCGATTTTTAATCCTAATGTAATCATCATCTTCACCACGATCATTTATGTTTATGTTCGCCGAATTGACATGAAAGCACTGACAAATATGAATATACTGTAGTCAACTTCATTAAAACGTTATTAACGTGCCTAAACTCAGTAATTCACCATTTCTACGCATGACAACACAGTGAAGCGTTCCCGCATTGACGTCACTTCCGGCTTCCCCCAAAACTTCAAAATGAGTCGAAGGAATTTCCCCGCGATGATCGAAATTATTGATATTTAACGGAACGGTATCGCTTTTTCTTTTTTAATCTGACGGTTCGAGATTACTAGTAGCCCAATATTTCATTGCACAACAGTTGTTGGGATGCTGTCACAGGCTCTTTAAATAGTAAACCATAATGTTATGAATGAGAGAACTCCCTGTAGCAAGATGGCGGCCAAGTGGCAACGTCGGTCTCCATTGGCCAGCAGCGCGGGTGAGTCATCTAGTGTTTATATATATATCTATGGGAAACAGCATACGTTTAAAGAAATGAGAACTCCTCTCCTCTGAGCGGTCATATTAAAGCGACGTCCGTTCATTACTACGTAGCAACAGCCATAGATATATATATACACGGGGGTGTTTATATATATCTATGGCAACAACTACATCAGCTGTCGAGTGTTTTGTCATAGCGCTGTATTTTATAATCTCTGTTAGATCAGCTGAACATTGTTCCCCCACATATTTACTTTGAATTAATTGAGAGTGCGGTATAATGAGACAATAACATGAGACAATAACAGGCTACAGATGCGGACACACACACACAAATATATTTATATAAATAGGCCTATATACAATTTAAAGTATGAGAGCACTCTCATAATAACGTAACACAATCAGAGACTGGATATATCCCCCCCCCCCCCCCCCGCTCTCTGGTCGCTGAAATGGGGAATTGAAATTACGGGCCAAAAGTTGTATTTACAAGTATTAAAAGTAAGCAGAGGACACCAAACCAACTGAGACCCGTCTGTCCGACTGCGGTCAACTCAGCCGTCTCTCGCATTTGCTTGGTCAAATGAGCAGCGCTTCATTTTTGAGTGCGCGATTAATAGCGTCTTTACGGTAATCGCCTAGAAGCGGCGCTGACGGTAGTACACGAGCTGATGTTATATTTGATCAATCAATCAATGATATTTGATGAGGAATAAAATCATTTTTAGCCATAAGTTCTTAATAAAATTGGTACTGTTGGACTCAGTACTTGTTAGACTACTACCACAAATACAATGAAGTACTTTTACTGTGTACTATTTGAGTAATACTCTGTCAAACTCCCCTCCAGAGAACAATAATGCATGTTTTCTGCCATCTTTGATGAGAGATAAAATGATTTTTTTGCCATAAGTTCTCAGTGAAAGTGGTACTGCTGGACAGAGTAGTACTTGGAGTACGACCACAAGTACAATCAAGTACTTTTATCGTGTACTTTTTGAGTAATACCCTGTCAAACTCCCCTCCAGAGTACAACAATGTATGTTTTATGCCATCTTTGATGAGAGATAAAATGATTTTTTGCCATAAGTTCTCAGTGAAAGTGGTACTGCTGGACAGAGTACTACTTGGAGTACGACCACAAGTACAATCAAGTACTTTTATCGTGTACTTATTGAGTAATACCCTGTCAAACTCCCCTCCAGAGTACAATAATGTATGTTTTCTGCCATCTTTGATGAGAGATAAAATGATTTTTTGCCATAAGTTCTCAGTGAAAGTGGTACTGCTGGACAGAGTACTACTTGGAGTACGACCACAAGTACAATCAAGTACTTTTATCGTGTACTTTTTGAGTAATACCCTGTCAAACTCCCCTCCAGAGTACAATAATGTATGTTTTCTGCCATCTTTGATGAGAGATAAAATAATCTTTTGCCATAAGTTCTCAGTGAAAGTGGTACTGCTGGACAGAGTACTACCTGGAGTACGACCACAAGTACAATCAAGTACTTTTATCGTGTACTTTTTGAGTAATACCCTGTCAAACTCCCCTCCAGTGTACAATCATGTATGTGTTCTGCTATAGACCTGGTACAGGGACAACCACTTGGAGCTTAATGCTCTCAAGGCAGTGGAGATGGTTGTGGACTTTAGGAAGAACGCAGCCCCACCCGCCCCCATCACTCTGTGTGACTCCCTAGTCACTGCTGTGAAGTCTTTCCGCTTCCTGGGCACCATCATCGCTCAGGAACTCAACAACAAATGGCCCAGATTTGTACAATAGAAACTTGAAATCTTGTAATGTAGGAAACAATTCACACTGGCTGCCATGTTATATAGGCTTTGTTTTGCAATATTTATTCAACGGTCACTTCTTAGTTAAACAAATCT